GAGGAGAAACCACACTGTTGTTTCCAACACTCGTTGATGATGATGTTGTTACACGGGGGGGTCACAGCATCAGTTTTAACGGGAAGAAGAAGAACTCTGCTCCCTCTCCACCCACACATCCCGTACGAACCAAGAGATGAGCGAGCCGAGGTCGCAGCTGTCGTTCTGGGAAACGGAGGCCGACTTCCAGCCGAAGAAGTCGATGTAGGCTGAGAACACCAAAGACTTTACCAAAATCTACAAAAAAAAAAACACCGAGTTCTGAGTCACGGCTCGATTCCTGGTTTTCTGTCTGAGATATTTCAGTAAATTCTCTTTCCCTTTATTTTTGAAGTTATTGGCATTATAGATGCAAAACACCTGATTTATCATTTGATCAGAACTGAGCTGAGAAAAGGAAACCAGCTGCTCAACCACAGACTGCTGCACTTTTATCAAACGTCAGATCTGTCGTTGCTTCACTCCAACACACTTTCTTGTGTTTGTAGTTTTTAAATYGAGTGAGTGAGAACAGATCTGTGGAAAACAGTCCTGAAGCATCCAAGGAGTTCTCTTGATCTTCACTTCCCAAAGCTCTCTGAAGGCTGCTCAAAGGAGTTTTTTTATTTTTACAACATTAAATGTGTTTGTTCTCTTCCACAAAATAACAAAAAACAAAAACTGATGCAATCAGATCCAAAAAGGTCCAGATAAGTTGCAGAAAGTGACCTTGGAGTTCAGCTTGAACGGTTCTGGATGGTTTCCTACCATCCTCTGATAAACCTGGGGTCGCATTTCCTCTTGCGTCCACAACYCAGGAAGTTGAACACAGTCCCACGAACTTCCTACTTTTTTAATAATCTGTAGTCCAAAGAGCATGCYGCTGCTTGGAGATGGTTTTGTAGTTTTTAGTTTAACATGTATAACCTTCTCTTTGAGCTTCTCAAACAGGAAAAAAGTATAAATATTAGAGGAGCAACGATACAGAAAAATCACGATTCAGTTCAGTTCGATGCTTAAGTCTCACAGTTAAATGTTTCTTAACTTGTAATATACTGAAATTCATTCTGAACATTTGTTTAACCTCAAAAGTMCAGTTTTTAAATTAAATGTTGCTGAAACAGTAAGTTTCTCAGTGGATCTGAGCTCAAAACTGCAGCCTAGGTGGAGTAATCGAACACACATCCACTGATCCTTCAACACAGAGCATCTTCAGAAGACAAGTTGATAAAATGTTAAAAATCTGTATTGATCCATACACAGTGTGGATTAAAGCGCTGTTTGGAACAGTTCCATACAGATACACGGTTTGTTGCATTTATCTGTAGTTTCTGTTTCCCTTAATGTTAGCATCATGCTAACTGTATCTTCCTCGTCGTCAAAATCTTCCTCGTCTTCCTCTACAGCTGGAGAATTAACCRACACTTCTCTGAAAAACGTTAATTTGTCCCGGATGTTTCACAACAGAATGAAAGGTTTTTTTTACATGACCCGTCAAAATAAAAGCCATAATGCGATCGTTTAGTGCGATGACTTCTAGTTTATGATATATGGTGCAGTTCTAATTCAAAAACCTACCTTGGTTTTAATGGTTCTGGGCGGTCTCTTTTTTTCTTTTTCTACCATCCTCACTATCTGTCTGAGCCTGGGGTCGCATTTCCTCTTGCATCCGCGTYCCGGAAGGTGCTCAGTCATACTTTTTTAAAAAATCGTTGCAGTTGTGGTCAGAGGAACACAAAGCTGCTTGGAGACTTTTTTTTCTTCTCTTTGAGCTCCTCAGAGTTGATAAAATGTGATTTTAGCAAAAAAAAAATTTWAATTTGATTTCTGGGATTAATTAATCTCTGCTAACTCGTTAGTTCTATAACAACCTGGGTGATCCGAAGGTTCTCGTTGTGAGGTGACGATGCTGACCACTGCTCCACCGTGTCAGGAGCAGAAAATCAAGCAGTTAACTTCATCACCTGAACAGATCTCAGCAGGATCTGAAACTGGGGTCTGTTGATCCACTGCTTCGTCCTGGAACCACCTGTGAAACATTCTGCTTGTTTTACATTKAGGCTCTTTATTGCAGACACAGATTATTTCTCTTCTTTTAACAGGATGTTTGTTCAGTTTGTGATCTGAAGCATCTCTCAGGTCTGTTTCCTGAACAGTTTCAGATACTCTTATCACTGCTTCGCCTCCTTTTGTTTTACAGAAACACTTTGCTCTGTTAAAGTTGATCTGAACCAAGTCTGCAGAAAGTCCTGCTGCTGTGCTCACAAAGGAGCGTGCAGCCCAGCAGGACTGTTTAAAGCAGTGCACGTACACAAACGCACATGTGTGGCTGCTGGAGCACTGGTTTCATATTACTATGTCAGCTACAGTAAATTGCATGCAGCTTCCCCCGCCAGAGCCATTCATCCCGACTCCCGCCGCCCGCATTCCTCCACGGCCCCATGATGGACAGAGAGAACGTGAGAAGCCCCTCGTCCTTTCTGCTCGCTCGGCGTGGTCACGTCTCCGGCCTTTCACTGCACGCCCGACATCCTCCGAGGGGAGGAATCGGAGAGCCGTGTGTGTGGGGGGCAGGGGGTGGGGGGGAACCAGAGAGGGCTGAAGTAAGAAAGGTAAAGAGCCTGCTGTTCCTTTGTCTCGCACCTGTTGCTAGGCCTCCTCTGCCCCCCACCAGTCAGCCTGAAAGCTGAGGAACAAACAGAGCTCGTTCCTTCTGGAGCCTCACGCCTACACGCCTGTGTTTAAACAGGATTTATGCTCCTTTATGTGGCTTTCCTCATCAAACCCACGACTCAACACTGAAATCTTAATGATCAAATATTTAAAATCAGTCCTGTCCAACTTCCAGAAACATCTGGTCYGCAGTGTAGAACCATAAAAGAAGCTGCTCCGTTTGATAAATCTCATCCTCAGAACTTCTAATGACTAGCAGCCGAGCCGCAGCTGCAGCGCCGCTGACACGTGTTCGGCCTTTCCGCCGCCGTGCCTCGGCCGTACGGGGAGGCGGCGCCGCAGCTGGCGTTAATAACGGTAACGATGACTGATGTGTCCGTCTTCCTGCTTCTGCTCTGCCGTCCAGACGTGTTACATCTGCGAGGACCACGGGAGGGAGAGCAAGGCGGCCTGCGGGGCCTGCATGACCTGCAACAGRCAGGGCTGCCGGCAGGCCTTCCACGTCACCTGGTGAGTTCCTACCTGCAGGGACAGCAGGTTAAACAGGTGTTTATTTGAACACACCTTTATTAACCCATGCTTATTGTCCCACTTTGAATATTAGCACCTTTATTTTCTGCTTGCTTTAAAGTTCTATAAGAAAAGTTTGGGTTTATTTACACTTGTTTTTATTTCTGTCTGTAAAATCCCTGCAGGAAACTGAAACTGGCTCGTTTAACCAAAAGAAGCTAAMTATTAGCTAAAAGCTAAAAGAAGCAYATGCTATCARAAAGGCAAAAGTAGAAAAATAATTAGTTTTTTATCAAAGCTGAACACTAGCTTAAAAAAATCCATAACATTTGTTAAAAGAAAACACTTAATAAAATCTAAAAGTAATGAAAACCTAGCTAAAAGCTAAAGTGGAACAATTCTTGGTAAAGATAGGAAAAGGCTAGCTAAAAGCTAAAGTGGAACAATTCTTGGTAAAGGTAGGAAAAAGCTAGCTAAAAGCTAAAAGTAACAAAAGTCTAGTTCAAGTGAAAAAATGTTAGCCAAAAATAGCAAACACCTGCTAAAAGTGATCAAAACAGAACACTAGCTTAAAAAAACAACACATTAACTAAAAACTAAAAGTAGCAAAAGGTTAGCTAAAAGCTATGGAAGAAAAGTAACTTAAGCTGGAATACTCTGACTAAAATGTGAGAAAAAGATTAGCTGAAAGTATCAGAAGACTTGTAAGAAATTAAAAGCAATAAAAGGATAGCTAGAAGATTAAAATAGCCAGGGGTTAGCTAAAAGTAGCTAAAGGCTAGCTTGAAGCTAAAAGTGTCAGCAGGTTAGGTAAAAGTAGCAAAA